GCACTGGACATTCGGATAGAGTAAACAAAATGGCCGCCTTTATATACGACGGATTGAATATTTTACGTCTTCTGATTGGTTAACCTTCTATTGGTGGACTATAAAGTGAGTCAAGTCGTTTGGGCTAGTTTACTAGTACATATATATATATATATATATATATACAAAAAACTGCAGCACCCTGCTATGTAATACAAGACCGGGCGGAAAAGAGATTTTCCCCTTTCCCAAGACGAGCGCAGTCAGAATGACGAAGGATAGAGCGCTAAAGGACAAAGTGCCGAAAGACAAAATGACGAATGGACAAAATGTCGAACAGACAAAGCCTCGAACGGACAACACGTCGAAGGGACTAAGTATCGAATAGACAAAGTTCCGAAAAGGAAAAAGAGTCGAACTGACTAAATAACGAAATGCTAGAAATGTGCCTACAATATAACACTCCTCGGAACCTATCCCTCGACCGGAAAGAAATGACATGAGCGACAAGTGTCACCGGACCGTTATCTTATGACTGTTCGCATCAAACATAAAATAACTTTCGGGACATGGAACGTTCGGATATTGAACAAGATAATGTGAAACAAGAAATGAGAAGACTAAAAAACAACATTCCAGGCGTATCCAGATGGCCAAACAACGGGGATTTTTTCAGCGACGGGAACAGGATCATTCATGCCGGCGGAGAGAAAAACGACAAAACAGTAGGATTAATATTAAATAAAACATTTAAGAAATGCATTCTGGGATATTGCCAACTATCCGAAAGAATTCTAGTAGTCAAGCTGAAAGGAAAGCTTTTCAACATATCTATCTTGATAATGTACGCATCGACAGCACAAAGTAAGGAAGAAGAAATCAAAGATTTCTACTCAAAGCTGGACAATGCCAAGGCTCTTTGCAAATCACAGGAAGTCATTATTATCATGGGAGACCTAAACACCAAATTAGGCTTCGAGAGAGCAGAGGATATAGCCGGAAAATTTGGACAAGGTACCCGCAACGAACGTGGAGAAAAATAGATTCAATGGTGACATGAAGGAGCCCAGGAGGAGACACTAAAAACCAAATAGACTACATAACTATCAAAAAAAAAAAAAAAAGATTCAGGAATGCCATCGTTCACTGGAAAACCTACCTAAGTGCCGACTGCGGGATCGATCATCGCCCTGTTATATGTAAACTAAGAGTGAAACTACGGAAACTGAAGAAGCTTAACGTGGCACCCAGGTTGCAATACAACAAACGCCTATACCGTACCTGAAAAAAAATACGGACAATGTGAAAAGAATATACGAGGGACACACTGGAAATTCGAAATGGGACGCTTTAGTGACATCAACAAACGAGGTCATCTCAAAGGTGAATGGACGAAAAAGAAAAAAAAAACGAATGTATGACTAAAGGGATTCTCGACAAAGGATGTTACAATATAATGTACCTAAAATGAGGGGGCTTGTTACAATTTTTGGATACATTAGACTAGTGAGCCAGTCCAAATGACTTCTCTCATTTTAGTCCACCAATAGAAGGTTAACCAATCAGAAGACGTAGAATATTCAATCCGTCGTGTATAAAGGCGGCCATTTTGTTTACTCTATCCGAATGTCCAGTGCCAGCTTGTCAGGCGAAGAGAAACAGAAGGACGAATTACGCTCTGCTACTTTTACCAAAATATCCACTGCTAACCTGAACAACGCTTCCCTACTGTCTTCGAAATATTCACTGCTAACCTCTGGATTCTATACTCAAAGACGACCGTCATCATGAACAACAAAGGAGACAGAAAACTTTACCAGGATACGGAACAGAATACAAAAAATTACACAATGAAATAAGGACCAAATGCAGGCAAGCTAAAGAAGAGTAGCTAAACAAAAAATGTGCAGAAGTAGAGACATTGAGTACCATCAAAAAAGGAGATATGCATAAACAAATAAGGCAACTAACAGGACAGAAGACGTACTCGTCAACAGACTGCATAAAATCAAAGGATGAAGCGCTCATTTTAGAGAAGAAAAAATTCTTCAGGTCTTGAGTGAGTATATTGGTGAACTCTTCTACGATGAAGAGAACAACCAGCAATAACAATAGACCCGAAATTCTAAAAACCAAAGTAGAAGCTGCACTGGACAAATTGAACAGAAACAATGCGGCAGGGCCAGGCGGAATTATAACAGAAATGCTGACAGGCTTAGATGATTTTGACATAGACTAGAAATAATAAATGAAATCTACAACAGTGGGGATATAACGGTCAGCAGATCTATTTTCATAGCAATGCCTTTCTTAGGCGCAAAAAATGCGAGCTCCACCGAGCGATCAACTTAATGAACCACATAACAAAACTCATTCGTATTCTGATGGATAGTTCGCGCGGCACAATAGGGCCAAAGATAGGACAAGAACAGTACGGGTTCGTTAAAGACATCGGAACAAAGAATGCGATATTCATTCTTAGAATGTTATCAGAAAGAGCAATACAAATGCAGAAGGATGTGTATCTATGTTTTATAGACTGCGCAAAGATGTTCGACAAAGTACGCCATACGGATCTGCCGGAACTGCTCAGCAACCTTGATATATTCGGGAAAGATATTAGAATAATAAAGAACCTATACGCCGGTATAGGTTCTTGATTATCATGTGCATCGACACTGAGTTCAGCGAATATACAAAATAGAAAGGGGCGTAAGGCATCGGACATTCAACCTATACAGCGAGGCAATTCTGAGAGAATTGAGATCCTACTGAGATGCAAATATAGGGTGACCCCAATCTACCAACATAAGATACACAGATGACACAGTAATGATAGAAAACACGGAAACTGCAAAAGCGAAGAAGAGAGAGCGAGAAAAGAGACTAATCATAAGCTACAAGACAATGCATGGTCATCAGTAAAACGTTGAGCCCAAGATGCGATTTGCAGGTCGGGGCCACTAAAATCAAACTTGTGCAGAAGCTTAGATATCTGGGAAGTGTTTTGATGGAGGACGATAGATGTGAAGCTGAGATCCAAAGACGGATTGGGATGTTCAAAAGCTCCCCAAAGTTGGGTAGAGTACTGCAGAGACAGGAGGATTTCTTTGGTGACAAAGAAAAATCTACTGAGCTGCTACGTGGCATCTGTTCTCCTATACGCCAGCGAATGTTGGACGGCCTCCTCAAAGCAGAAGAAGAGACTCGAGGAAGCGGATATGTGGTTCTACAGAACGATGCTAAGGATATCCTATGACCAAGCATGCGAACAACGACGAGGTCATAGAGAGGATGCAAGCGAGGAGGAAGATTATACTTAACATAAGGAAGAGGCAGATGAAGTTTCTAGGACTCGTAATGAGAAAGGAGGGCCTGGAGAATCTGATACTCACATGTCGAACAGAGGGAAAATGAGACAAGGGAAAGCAGAGCATGACATACCTGGCGGGCTTAAGCAAGTGAATGTCAGAACGTGGGCTGGGGGAGTTGGCAGAGGCACGAAACTTCTTAAGAGCTACAAGGGATAGGGGAGAAGTGGAGAGCCATGATCGCCTACGTCCTGAAAGGACATGGCACATAAAAAGAAGAAAGAATATAAAAGACTCCATTAATTTATTGAAAATATTACTTTGTGGAACAAATGGAATTATGACTTATAAAACTTCAAGGAATAATAGAATTCAGTAAATAAACTGAAATGTGTTTCCTATTTATAGCTCCTAATGAATATATATATGCGAAGACTTCTAATTCAATTTGATAAAAAATAAAGCATAATAAACGACCTCCCAACAAATCAGACGACTAACCAATGATTATGGAGGCTTAATCCCTTTTAAGGCTTTTATTTATTAAATGATGCCAAAGCTAGACAATAAAAATATTTAGAATTGATTATTTAAACCGAGTCTTCAAATAATGTTCGTTTTTATTTTGTTCAACATTTTGTCCTTTTCAAACTTTATATCCATTCGTCATTTAGTGTGTTCGACTCTTTTTCCAGTTCGGCTCTTTTCGACAAGCCCGGAATTTGAAGTTGAATCGCCGATTTCACTGTCCTCACTCAAAACAACCCCGTAAAGGATTATATAATGATCAAACATTAGAACTTTATTTTCAATGCCATTTTGGTTGTACTGAGAAGTTTTCAGCGCCCCTTTTGCAGCCTGAGTTAAATGCCAACACGAAAGTGTTTTCTTTAATAAAACTTATGTCCGAACCACGGAACAATTTAAAAACAGTCTCGCGAATTACATGCAATCTGAAGTCTCGCGTGGGCTAATGATTACTCCAGCTGCCACACACATACACACACAGGCACACAACACACAGGCACACACATACTTTTAACAGAGAAATTTATCTGACAAAACGCGTGCCTTCTAAACGACTAAATACGTTACATTTTTAGTCGTTGAAATGAGTCGAATAGGTTTCATTTCTGACCGAAAAAACACATGGACTCATGAAAAAATACATTTTACATTTCTTTCTTAGACAAGATTAGTAATCATTTCATTTAGTCTTCCTTTTTGTAATTCAACTAGCATGTGTTGTTCATTTAGTTTTTTGGGTATCTATCTATCTATCTATCTATCTATCTATCTATCTATGCGACAATTCTCTTTTCCTTTCTTTTTTCTTCAGCATATTTCTTTCTTTCATATCTCTCTATGTCAAGAAATCTTTCTTTCTGTTTAAGTATATGCCTTTCTTTTTTCTGTTCTATCTATCTATCTATCTATCTATCTATCTATCTATCTATCTCAACCATTCTTTTTCCGTTTAAACGTATTTCTTTCTTTCTAATTATATTTCTCTTTTTCTTTCTTTCAGTTTAAGTATGTTTCTTTCTTTTTACTTTCTTTCTGTCTGTCTTTATCTATCTATCTATCTATCTATCTATCTATCTATCTATCTCAACAATTCTTTCTTTCTGTTTAAACGTATTTATATCTCCATTTCTTTCTTTCTTTCTTTCTAATTATATTTCTCTTTTTCTTTCTTTCTGTTAAATGATGTTTCTTTCTTTTTATTTTCTTTCTGTCTTTATCTATCTATCTATCTATCTATCTATCTATCTATCTATCTTGACATTTCTTTGTCTCTTTAGTGTCTAAAGATATTCCTTTTTTCTCTGTCACTCTCTGTACCTAATACAACATTTCTTTATTGTTTTTTTTCTATTATTTCACGTCTTTTCATTCTTCTTTCTTTCTTTTTTCTTTCTTTCTTTTTCTTTCTTTCTTTTTTCTTTCAAACAAACAAACAAATATTATTATGTCTTCTTTCTTCTTTTTCATCGTTTTCAAATGTCATACGGTCCCTTCCTTCTTTCCTACAACAACCACAATAGCAAAATGTCAACTATTCACTGTATGATTACTTCAGAAACTTTACTCCTAAATGGTTTATTATAAATCCGGGGCAAAGCCTCGATGGTATGAAACCCTTTTCCCCCCTTTCTAACACACCTGTTTAACTAGAACGAAAAAAAATAAAAAAAATAAAAACCTTTCAAGTAAAAATTTGATCTTTCAAGCAACCAAAGTTCACCAGGTGCCATCGAGATGTCAGACTTTGATGTTTCATGGGCAGTTGAAGATGTCAACAATTTCCTTTCTCGGGTCTTCCGTCAAGTTCAAAACTCCGTCAAAAAATAATAATGATGATAATAATAAAGCTATTTGAATAACTTACCCTTGGATATTGTAATATTTATTAAAGTAATTTTCTCAGGGGTTAGTCGAAAAGTATCAGTAGTGTGGGGAAATTAACCTCAGTCTAAGCAAAAGAAATACTAATAGGTATAAAACATCTCATGTGTCAGCGAGATAATATTTTCTTTCATTTTTTTTCTTTCACTCGTTTTTGCTAATTTCTCTTCTTTCTTTCTTTCTTTTATCTGTTCGTTTCTTTATCTCTTTTCCCCACTTTTTTCTTTCTTTTTTTCTTTCTTACTTTTGCTTATTTATATCTTAATCTCTTTCCATTCTTTCTTTCTTTCTTTCTTTCTTTCTTTCTTTCGTTCTTTTTTCTTTCTTTCTTTTGCTTATTTATATCTTAATCTCTTTCCATTCTTTCTTTCTTTCTTTCTTTTACTTATTTCTTTCTTAATCTATTTCCCCATTTTCTTTCTTTTTTTCTTTCTTTTTTTTGCTTATTTATTTCTTAATATCTTTCCCCACTTTCTTTCTTACTTTTGCTTATTTATATCTTAATCTTTTTCCTTCTTTCTTTCTTTCTTTCTTTCTTACTTTTGCTTATTTATATCTTAATCTTTTTCCTTCTTTCTTTCTTTCTTTCTTTCTTTCTTTTGCTTATTTATATCTTAATCTTTTTCCGACTTTCTTTCTTTCTTTCTTTCTTTCTTTTGCTTATTTATTTCTTAATCTCTTTCTTTCTTTCTTTCTTTCTTTCTTTCTTTCTTTCTTTCTTACTTTTGCTTATTTATATCTTAATCTTTTTCCTTCTTTCTTTCTTTCTTTCTTTCTTTCTTACTTTTGCTTATTTATATCTTAATCTTTTTCCGACTTTCTTTCTTTCTTTCTTTCTTTCTTTCTTTCTTTCTTTTTTCTTTTTATTTCTTTTTTTTTTTCTTTCTTTTCTTTCTTTTTTTTTTTTGCTTTCTTTTTTTTTTTTTCTTTTTTTTTTTATTTATTTTTAATCTCTTTCTTTCTTTCTTTCTTTTCTTTTTTTTTTTGCTTCTTTTCTTTCTTTTTTTTCTTTGCTTATTTATTTCTTAATCTCTTTCTTTCTTTCTTTCTTTCTTTCTTTCTTTCTTTCTTCTGCTTATTTATTTCTTAATCTCTTTCCCAGTTTCTATCTTTCATTCTTTTGCTTGTTTGATTCTTAATCTCTTTTCTTTCTTTCTTTCTTTCTTTCTTTCTTTCTTTCTTTCTTTGTGCTTATATTAAAAGCTCTTTCGCGCTTTTGACAGATACTATTAACCTTTTCACTTATCTTCAGATGATAACAATCGCCATTCTTCTTACAAAAATTCACAATGTTGGAAACAAAGCCAAAATTGATAAAATAAGCTTGAGGGTTAGGACGATCAGTGCATCATTATTGTAGTTCTATAGAAGAACATCTCCAAGATTAATTAGGTTTTACGCAAAAAGAACTTACAAAAAATCATAAGAGCCAAACGTAACCGGAGATATCTAATGTTATTATACATATGGAAAATAAAATGCCGTATACTTTGTACTGAATAAAATGCCTTCTAATTCAGGGCGTGCGTCAGTTTACAGTGATGGCTGTAAACGTTTTATCATAAAGTGAGTTTTCTTGTTTTGATCTCAATATTCTGTTCAAAATGAAAGATGAGTAATTAAACAGCATTATATAAGTTAATACGTAAACACACGCATATATATATATATATATATATATATATATATATATATATATATATAGATAGAGAGAGAGAGAGGAAAAAGATGAATTGATAGGTAAATAAAATAGACCGACTGCCAACCGTGAGAAGGCTTATTTTGTTAATATAAATAACGCATGAATTTTATATACACGAACCAGTCGTTTCCCTTACAAGGTGTACACAGATTCAAAAACGTGTCGAAAGGCGTAGACCCCTTATTAAAACCTTCGGATGGACTCTTGTAAATTTACACTGTTTAAAAATCATAGATATCTACTCATTCGAAAGATCTAAACAAGAGATTTACGTTTAATTAATTAAGGGTAATTACTTGATTATAACGTTTTCCGTGGCTGAATAGTGGTTTTCCCGATACGGAGGACGCAGGTTCAAACCCTTCTGGAGGGCACATTTCCTTTATTAAGAATTCTGAATGCACAGGCCGGTAGACGTAAATTAACATTATTTAAAAACGGAGCTACGCCTACTCAAACACGTTTATCCAATAAGTCTAACGGTTGACTTAATAAGACAAAAATATTGTATATACAGGACACGCCAGCTAATTGCGAACATATTATGATATGATAACGATGTGATATTTTATAATATGTATACTTAAAAAGCATAAAATAAATACAAGTTTAATTTAGAAAAAAATGGAAAAATGGTTATTCAATAAAGACGCCTACGGTTTGGGAGTAACATTGGAAGCGATTGAATTACGAATCAGTTGCTTCTCGTTCATAATCGACATACCATTCACAATAGAAAATGTCAGCGAATCGTTGGTATTGTAGGATGGCTGATTTGTCTTTCTTTTGGCATTTTAACTAATGAAGTAGTTCTGGTGATTCAGGTCAAGTAAGTAGGAGACCACATGTTAGGTGTGACTTGGTTGTGAAAGTTTCTGTGTTATGTTGGCAAGAAGGTGAGAGAAATACATTTTATTTATATAATTTTAACAGCTGCAGATATTAATAGGGATGCATACGAAGACAAACGCACATCATCATTATTATTACTTCAAACGATATTTTTAGTAGATAACCGTATTTGAGTAGACGCCCTGATTTTTATGTTAAACAGTATCAATTTCGTCTATCGGCCTGCATACTAGAGATAGATTACGGCACATAGAACATTGTTTATTTGTAACGCTCTTCTTAGACGTGTGGTTAAATCACGCCGGATATGAAAAAGTGTAAGCAGATTCGAATCCTGCCGGAAGGCACATTTCTTTTAAATGAGATTTCTTGAAGGCACTATTGTCTCGGCGGTCGATTAGTTGTCCTCCGGCCATTGTCTGCGATGGACGTTACTCCAGGAAGCGTGCGAAAATTGTAAGGCTTCACGAACACACTAGCAAGACTTGCCAGTGAGCAAATCAGAGTACTACAGATTGGTCCGGAAACTCCACTGATTTAAATTCAATCGAGAATCTGTGGTCAGTCTGCAAGGACGGACTTCGTGGAATGGACATACGAAGTACTAACATGTGCACAAGGTCATTTCATTGGAAAAATACAAAAAAAATAAATAATAACAGAATTATTATAAATATAAAGTTCAAATAAACGTAAAACTAAAAACGAATGATTTTGAAAATGCCAAAAATAAAAAATGCAAATATGTGCATATATTCTTTCTTCTTATTTTTATCTGCCGTGTCCTTTCATGACGTAGGCGATCATGGCTCTCCACTCTCCCCTATCCTTTGCATCTCTCAATAAGTTTCCTTCCTTCTGCTTCCTCCCCGAGACCACGTTCTGTCATCCACTTACTTAAGCCCGCCAGGTATGTCATGCGCTGCATTCCCTTGTGTCTTTTTCGTGTTGACATTTAACTCAAGCTGCAAAAGGGGCGCTGAAAACTTCTCAGTACAACCAAAATGGCATTGAAAATAAAGTTCTAATGTTTGATCATTATATAATCCTTTACGGGGTTGTTTTGAGTGAGGACAGTGAAATCGGCGATTCAACTTCAAATTCCGGGCTTGTCGAAAAGAGCCGAACTGGAAAAAGAGTCGAACACACTAAATGACGAATGGATATAAAGTTTGAAAAGGACAAAATGTTGAACAAAATAAAAACGAACATTATTTGAAGACTCGGTTTAAATAATCAATTCTAAATATTTTTATTGTCTAGCTTTGGCATCATTTAATAAATAAAAGCCTTAAAAGGGATTAAGCCTCCATAATCATTGGTTAGTCGTCTGATTTGTTGGGAGGTCGTTTATTATGCTTTATTTTTTATCAAATTGAATTAGAAGTCTTCGCATATATATATTCATTAGAGCTATAAATAGGAAACACATTTCAGTTTATTTACTGAATTCTATTATTCCTTGAAGTTTTATAAGTCATAATTCCATTTGTTCCACAAAAGTAATATTTTCAATAAATTAATGGAGTCTTTTATATTCTTTCTTCTTTTTATGTGCCATGTCCTTTCAGGACGTAGGCGATCATGGCTCTCCACTTCTCCCCCCATCCCTTGTAGCTCTTAAGAAGTTTCGTGCCTCTGCCAACTCCCCCCAGCCCACGTTCTGACATTCACTTGCTTAAGCCCGCCAGGTATGTCATGCTCTGCTTTCCCTTGTCTCATTTTCCCCTCTGTTCGACATGTGAGTATCAGATTCTCCAGGCCCTCCTTTCTCATTACGAGTCCTAGAAACTTCATCTGCCTCTTCCTTATGTTAAGTATAATCTTCCTCCTCGCTTGCATC